GAACCATGTCTTGAAACTTGGATAATTTTATATATATTTTTTTCATTTTATTTATTTCATTTTCAGATTTTTAATAAATCGTTTGTAGAGATGCACAGTACCTAACAAATTGACAAATTTTGATATTAACTTAACAAAAAAGATATGATTGGATGCTTCTGTGTATTTTTTATTTGTTTTTAGATATACAAGATACGCCCACACCTTCCCCCTTTATCTTTAAGGGCCGTACATCGCAAATTTCAAATGACATACCTTCCTAGGACGGGTTTGGTACCTGGGTACCCAGATTATATTAATTTGAATATTAAACGTAAAACATCTGTTTTTATGTTTTTTTACGGATGTATTTATAAGTGAAAAAAAATTAGTATTAGTATTTGAATAAGTAAGCTATTAACTTGTGCGATATACCTACGTATTTGAACGGCTAAATGGCTAAAAACCAGCTGATTGCGGGCTGGTATTGACAGTGTAGTTGTTTTTTTACACCGTTGAATAAACAATTGTTTAAGTACGGGTGTTATTTTGTATTAGTTTTTTAACAAATATATAGATGTAGATAAACTTTGAATTTTTATTTTGGCTATAAAATATATTATTGGGTATTTTAAACTAAAGGATACCTGGGTACCTAAACCCCCTTTGTGTGTGGAAAAACTTTGAACGATAATAATTTAAAAAAAAGCGGACATGTATTTCAAATTATAATATTGTGTAGAAAATTCCACACCTGTAATTTTTAACCAATCAAAACGTGTATTTTTGATAGATCACCATGGCAACGGTTGAATTTTAGTGGAAATTTTTTCCTCGTGGGTACCCAACAGCGAATTATACTGGAAATTTTTTTGACGTTTATAATGACAGAATATTTTTTTGACAATCTGGTTTTTATTTGTTTACATGATAATTTTGATACATTTCCATTACAAAGTTTAGATGTTTTCTATATTAGTTGGACACCTCCTTTCTTCTTAATGGCGAAAATGCAGGACTTGAAATAAATTAAATGTCTATGTCTAATGAAATATATATAATATTTAGACACTATTCTATTCACCTTTTTTTCCATTTAGCACTTGAATAGTTAAGATGCAAATATTCGTGAACAATTCAAAACAAATTTTCTTTCTTCAAGTAGGAGCCACAATCCTCTAATAATGCGGATAAATAAGTCATTGCACGATGATTGATCATTACAGCAGACAATTTCACATTTTTTTACGTCGTGCCGCTTGACAGCTTCAAAACTGAAATAACTTTTAGGTTGGGGTTGACTTAGTTGCCATGGTAAACTAAATAATCAAGTCGAGGTCAAGTTAAATCAAAAAATAAATTTTAATTATTTAAACACAATTTGGTGTGGAATTTTCTTACCGAATACCACACGAGGTCAAATTAAATCCGGAAATTTTTTGACCTCTAGTGGTATTACTAGTGAAAATACCTAGTTTAGAAATGTCACGAAATGGCAAACCTCCTCGATTTTAATCAAAAAAGATATTCATATACAGGGTGTTTCTTTTAACTTGAGACAGCTCAATATCTCCAGAAATACGCAATTCACGAAAAAATGTCTTAAATAAAAGGTTAATGTAACCAAAGGGGACATTATTTGGTGCTACCGCTAGCCACCCCCTACCCCTCCTTAAGGGTGAAACGGGGGGTAACTTTGGAAAGTCAAATGGAATGACCCCATTTTTTTCACAGAGTTTGGTAGTTCATAAAAAAATGAATAACTTTTATTTGAAAGTTTTTTTCAATTTATCAACAGATGGCGCGGTAATTAAAAATTTAAGAAAAAGGGGTTTCCTTGTAAAATGTATTATTTGAAACGTTTGAAAAACAAAAATTAACATTAAATCAACAATAGTCGGCTCTGAAAACAATTTATAACAAATGTTCGAAATGTCGTCCTTCCATTTCGACACCAAGTGGAGCACCAGCGTCCCTGGTCGGTAAACGTTTGGTGCGGTACCTTAAGCGAACGATTAATCGGACCCTTCTTTATTGACGGTGCATTAAATGGCGAAAAGTACCGGAATTTTCTAGAAAACGATCTGACGGACCTTTTGGAGGATATACCACTAGCACGGCTCCAAAACATGTGGAACCAGCAAGATGGTTGTCCTGCACATTATTCGACAATTGCTCGAGAGGTGTTGGATCGGGAGTTCAATGGCCGGTGCACCGCGGTGGATCGGTAGACGTGGTCCAGTAATTTGGCCTGCTTGATCACCTGATCTTACGCCACCAGACTTCTTCCAGTGGGGTTACTTGAAAGAAAAAGTTTACGCTGCAATTCCTACAACTTGGGAGGACATGGTGATACCGCCCGATATGTTGGCGCGTTGTGTGCCAGAATTCATTACCCACATTCAAAAATGTGTTGAAATGGAATGACGACATTTCGAACATTTGTTATAAATTGTTTTCATAGCCGACTATTGTTGTTAATGTTAATTTTTGTTTTTCAAACGTTTCAAATAATACATTTTACAAGGAAACCCATTTTTCTTAAATTTTGAATTACAGCGCCATCTGTTGATAAATTGAAAAAAGTTTTAAATAAAAGTTATTTATTTTTTTATGTACTACCAAACTCTGTGAAAAAAATCGGGTCATTCCATTTGACTTTCCAAAGTTACCCCCCGTTTCACCCTTAAGGAGGGGTAGGGGGTGGCTAGCGGTAGCACCAAATAATGTCCCCTTTAGTCACATTAACCTTTTATTTAAGACATTTTTCCGTGAAATGCGTATTTCTCGAGATATTGAGCTGTCTCAAGTTAAAAGAAACACCCTGTACAATAGCTGAATGGATACCGGGGTACCCATTCAGTCACATAAGACCTTTTTTGTATAGCGTTAAATTTACTACAAAAATATGTCACACTCATTTGACAATTTTTGAATAAGTTACAAAATTATTAAAAACAATATTTTTTTTAAATGAATTTTCAAACTTTGAACTTAAATTATTTTCTATTGTTAAAAGCAAATGTCAAATATATCTTGATAAAATTTTAATCTATTTTATATCTAATTTAAAATATCAATGTGTAGGAATCAACTTTTTAGGGATAATATAAACGTTTTAAAGATAATTACTTAATTTATTTTGTATTAAAATACTTCAAATTAACATATAGATGAGGCCAATAATTATTGACGACGATATTTGAGGAGGTCCATTCCAAAACTCGGCTTATCCACTTTTAAATAAAAATGAGTTAGTGGTATCTGTACATTTAACATATATCCCCCTATACCCTGAAAAGTTCATAATATTGTAACGTCCGTAGTGTGAATTAAAACACGCACTGGTTAATAAACGAACTAAACTAACTAACTTAACTACACTTAAAACACTATTAAACTAACTAAACACTTAACTACTAATTATTAATATATCACTACTGTTCAAGAGTCTATTTATTTGCACTTATATTTATTTATTTCGACGCGAGTACCAAAACTTAACTGACTCTCCATGATGCGTCGTTCCTTACACAGAAAAAAATCTAACATAGTACCAAGAACAGCGGTGTCATTGAATGCATTAAAATTGAAGCAATCTAAATGGTTATTTGCTCAATTAATTACTATTAAACCAAAATAGGGAAATATTTTGCCTAAATGTCAAAGAATTTATTGCGTTAAATGTATACATAGTATACATACAATAGTAACGTTATTAAATAAATCAAATTAGTATTTAATGCAATGACATTCTACCATTCTAACAAATAAATATCAATATGAATATCAATAGATTTAGGAGCGATAACTTTTGTTGTTAATTTAAAAACATTAAACGATTATAAACCAAGTGCTAACTACCTATTGGTATTATAGGAACTGTTATTCAGGAATACGTATTACAAGATCCCATTGGTTTAATGGCTCACCCATTCATGCTATGCTAGCGTTTTTTCTGTGTATATATTCAGCGCCTACGTCTTCTGGAACATTCCAGCGAGCTCCACACTCTCGATTATTCGAGCGCTGAGTCACCGGCGATGACTCATCGGTGATGATTCATCATTCCGAGATCCAGAGCCGTACTCGCTACAATATTCTAAAACTAACCTTATTTCATTTAAAATTCATTTACAATTTGACTATGGTTCCAAAACTTGCCTTGGTTATATCATGCAGAACTCGGCATATACGTATGTAATTTTAAATTATTTTAAACTGAAGCTATACCTTTTTAATCAAGGTATATAAATGTTTCACTTATGCCTTTATATTTCGTTTAAAGTATTGTGTTTGCCTGATATGCGTTAGTACTCACGTGTAAGGTCTTTGACATTTTGCTCGAAAACAACTAATATGGATAGCCGAGTTTTGGAATGCACTTCCTCATTTAGGGTAGCGCGAATTTTCTATTATTAACTACTACATCCTCTAAAAACAATGATTTTTCTAAGCATGCAGGAGTGATAATTTGTTAAAGTTTCCTATATATAGGTTATTTTTATACAAAAAAATAGTTATTTGGTCAAAGTATGAAACGCTGCGAAGTAAAACTTTGATCATTAAAAAGACACCGTATTCAGGTACCTAAAACAACAAGAAAGATGTGGCTGAGCGAAGAACAAGTAAAAATTTAATATGTTGGGAGAAGTTGTTTATTACCGCAATAAAACAAAAAAAAAATTATTTTGATCGGAAAAATGTTTAGATACCTCTGTGCAGAAGATAACATTCTACCTATAAAGTTTAATGAAATAATAGAGAATTAGTTTGACTAATCAGGGTGATTTAGTTTGACTAAAATGTATAAAACATTCTGCAATTTGTGAATTTTAGTAAAGATTGCATTATGGGTAGGTATGAATTGTTTTTATTATGAATTATGATTATCTATAAAATAAGTTGTCAGTAAAGTGGGATAAACTTTACTCTAAAGTTTATTTTTTCTTTTAGTTTTAAAAGGACAATTAATGGTTTAAAACCATCTGATGTATTAATTATAAAATAACATTGTGTAGTGTAATTGCGTTTGGAAAATGTAAAGACGAAAGATTTGCATTTGACGTAGGCAATCAGGCGGTCTGCGAGACCGGAAGTGGCGGTTTTGTTCTTCAATTTCCTCTGTCGGCTGCATAATGACGTACGATCACGAGCTCACAGAGCGTGGAGGAGGAAAAAGACCTATTTCTGTCATAAAGAGACGTTTAAACGGCTGATGCCTATATTGCTTTTTGATGTGGTTCCGCCGCCGTTGCCAATGCCAAATGATATGCAGGATATTGTCTGTCATTTTAAATCTAACGCGAATTTAGCCCCATATTGCTTGCATGTAGAAGGGGTGGAGAAACCCCTGCCGCCTGTCAATAACCGTACAAACATTATCTGCACACCGACTGCGCCACATCGCTCAATTTTCTTTTTTCCTACGGGTTTTTAGGCGGTTTCAAAGAGATTTGTCTGGGACTAATGTTCGCCTCAATACGTTTGAAATTAGGAAATAAGATGAAAATTTTATTACAATATATTATTCCAACAAATGGGGCAATTCAAATATTACGTTTAGATTATCTGTGAACCCTTGTTTTAAAATTTTTATAAATAAAAAAATGCGGCATTAAAGTAGAGATGTTGTTGGTAATATGGGTAATAATATAAGGTATATATGATGTTTTTACTGGAATTTATCATCATTTAAGTTTGTCTTTATTATAGTTTCTTGGCATTTAAACTTGATGTAATTTTCAATTGTCGCGGATTTAGCTTGTAATGTTATTCCAATGGGTCGTATTTTTAGTTTGACATCATTTAACGTGCTACATATAATAATACAAAGTTTGTTTAATATGCATACATCGGTGTACCCTATACCATGTATATGTATGCATGTGTTTATGTGTCTTTTGGGATGGAAAAGGGTATGATGATCAACGCACAAACCGAAATATTTATATCTCACACGGTGGTGTATCCACTGTGTCCAAATTTATCTGCTCACCATTGCTAACTCCGTTATTATTGGAGCTGCAAAGTTGGCTAAATTACAAATTAGTGGCATTTTTTCTTCTGAATACAGAAAAACAATCAAATATCAATCAAATCAATTTCAGGCCATCAGCAAAAAACCATTGCTTAATCTTAATATTTGGCCATTTGTAGGGATATGATAAAAGCCGTATGTGACTTTCTCAATTGTGTAAATTGGTATTTGTTCTATATTAATTTTATTTTGTAGTGTTTAACGTTGGATTAATATTGCATTATTATTTATACATACCTAGCGTTATTATTGCAAATACGCATAAAGTTATGTTATGCATATAATCAACGTTTAAAAAAAGCATATATTTTACTTACTTAAAAAATTAGTACAAATTAAGATATGCAATTGTTTTATTCTGCACACATATAATAGACAAAGTTTTTACTCAAAAAGCAAAATTAATCCAATAATAACTCTATGTTAATATAAAGGAAATACAGATTTAAAAAAAATATTTTTGTGAATACCTATTTGGGAAACCTGATTCTTAATGGTTCTTTTTACTTTTACAATTTTCATCAGTAGAAAAAATGCAATCAATTTCCTACTTTAACCGACTTTGTAGCTCCAATAATAACGGTGTTCACTGTAAAAAATCTGGCAATGTCTAGATACTCTGCAAACAGACCAATTTAGCAGACATTGTTCAAATTCACTACCATTTTGGACAATCAGTAAAATGTCTGATAATTTTTTCGATATAAAAAATAAACTTAGTTAGATATAAGAAGGTATACTATAGTATCATCAACTTAGATTAGTGCAGAGTGCAGTAAGTAAGTAGCTATTTTCAAGAACTCCTTATAAACGTTTTACTTCTTGCTTTAATTTAAAATCCAGTTAAATTACATTTGTGGACATTATCGATTTTGAGCCGATAAGAAATAAGGGATTGGTAATCCGTATTATTAAAACAGTGTTTTCTATGTGCAGCGTTTGAATTTAACTGTTCTCGTTTTTTTTAAATTAATTGAATTCCAGCTAAAATAACCTAACAATACGCCGTCGTTAAGCTTTACTGTTTTTATAGAAGTTGTGTAAATAAAATAAACATAATTTCAAATGTAATGAGATTTTTAAACAATGAGAACATATTTATTACGAATTTTAATTTAAACATAAAATTATATATAATAATAAACGTATATTAACGTCTAATTAATAATAATAGTAATAATAATATATTTATTTTAAAACACATAAGCAGAAAAAGTAATATAAGAATATAAAATAACATGACAATATAAATATTTAAACCAATTTACAATTATAGTATATTCTGTAACGGTTTCACGAGAGCGGAATATACAATATATAATGTACAATTCCAAGCGTGCACATGTTTCAGACTATACTTTTTCTACGTTTCCAAAAAATACCATAGAAAAATAATTTAATTGGGAGAAAGTGGGGTTGAATTTGTCAAAAATTTGTTGGATATTAAACACAGAGATGTCGCCACCCGTGTTTATTTCGTCATCCGATAATAGAATAATTAATTCTGTAATACCTTAAGTAATATATGTCATTCCACATTAAAAATTGATATTAGAACAGTTATGTTCTATATTAGGAGTAGAAAAAATACTTTACAATATAATGTAAAATTGAATGCATAAAAACATTTAAAAGTGGTTCAGGTACTCATCTTTGGTATATATATTATTTTAAGTTAAAATTAATTTAACAGCCTTTTTCAAGTAGGTATTTTTCATTTTAAGATTTTATTTTTGATGTAATTCATTATAAATGCCCTAGTAATTGTGACCATCTTGACACGTCTTTAGGGCACAATGTATTGGTGCTACCCCAGTAAGCACCAAACACTCGGCAAACAGTCGGCCTTCGCTCGGCATAGGCGCTTCACCGGCGGTTCGGCTTGCCCCAGCCGGCACGCTTACGACCCGCGTTATGTTACCCCGGTACTGTTTAGCTATGTTCTAACCGAAGTCGGCCAGAATACGGCATGCCGCTTCAAAATCCTTCGGCTTGCCCTAGCCGGCCCGCTTACGGCTGGAATACGGCCTGCCGCGGCATAAGCGATACATCTCACGGCTGCTTACGCACGCGAGCTAACTATAAATAGCAATTGGTTGCAAAATTTAGTTGGACGTGTGCATTCGTAATGGCATAGCTGAACATTTATTTTTGGAGTCCCCATCTCCATCCTCTTCTGCTCAGTAACAAATAATGTCTAGCTAGTCGAGTGTGTTAAAGAAGTATTTGCCATTGAGATAGTTTCAGGCGGCTATGCCCGACAGTTGGCCAGGCGGACATGCCCGTTCTACATGCCGCGGCGCGCCGGAAGAAATACGTGTGTGGGCCGCACGCGACCGATTCGGCTTGTGCTTACTGGGACGTTGTTTTTATTTCTTAAATCATATTGGTGAATGTCCCTATGAGATAAATATTGGGAACCCTTTTTGTACATGTAGATTAGACATTCGTAAAGGTACAATGATGTCCATAAAAGCCCGCCGACAATCATCCTGTTATCCTAAACCTGCCAATAGCCTAACCGCCCTTCTCTGGATATTAAACGCCCTTTCACTTTGAGGCCAAAATGGCATATAAAAGATGGGTTCGAAAAAGTGAGAATTATGCACTTTTTAACTTCAGAAGGAACACAGTTCATAAGATTTCCTAGGACAAAGAAACTCCTACCAAGCTTTGTAGCAGTAAAGTTTATTTGATGATCCCACAGCAGAGTACTGTCAATATAAACTTCTAAAAATGTATGTTTGTCTACTTCCTAATCTACCCTGCGCATGTTGAAAATTATTTTGCAGGTCTACTAATTGTTTAATGAGAGTTTGTTTGTCCTAAACCAGCTTTCTGCCTTTTCCTGAGCTATCGACATTTTGACTTTTGCCTAAGCCTGTGTATTAGCACTGAAAGACAGTGTCATGTCGTCAGCAAAAAGAGTAAAACTTGTACACAGGTCGCTTCTCGGTAAGTCATTAATACATATAAAGAATATCAGTGGTCCCTAAAGGACTCCTATTGTGATATCTCTCTGCTGACGATACACCACCAACTCTTACCACTTGGTTTCTATTATAAAAATAAGATTTAAGGAGATTTAAGGAGATTTGTGCTATTATTATTGAAATTGTAATAATATAGGTTTTTAATTAGCATATTATGGTTATGACTTGCTCAAGTCAAAGAATTATTTTCCATGTTTTGAAAAAAGTTTTGTATGTTTGATAATAAAGTTAGCACACCCAGAACTGTGCTTCTACTCCTTCTATATCCAAATCAGTAAATAGGATATTTTTTTCCAAAAAAGTTGATAATTGTTTGGTTACATTTTTTTCTAAAATTTTGTACTACTACTTTTGACTACTGGCACTAAAAAGACTTTTTTAAAGGCACGTAACAAAATCTTTTTATCAACATTGCTAATGCTAAAAAACAGTTAAAGTTATATTTTGACACCATTTTATAAAAATAAAACAGTCTCACCTAAATTAAAACAGACATGTTTTCTTGACAATTATTTAGTTTTAAAATGGCCGCAAAGTAGGACTTCCTTAATAATGCAAAATTTACGTGCTGAAATGTTTCAACTGTCATAAAATACATATTACTACTTAAAGCACAAAGGACCTTAATGAAAATTAGTTTTGTTAGTTCATGCGGGCGCATAATAAATCTGTGTTGTTTAAAAAGGCAAAATAATTACGCGAGTAAATCAAAGGCACCTTTGCAAATTATTTTCCGGGCATTTCAATTATTTAAACACAAAAAAGAGAGATTTTTCCGGACACCTGACAAAACGTCCTCTACATTATTCAAGGATATGTAAACAAGTCTTATCTAAATTACGGTAATTAATTTTCAGCTACGACTTGCCACTATGAAAAATAGCTGGCAAAATTTGTTAACTTCCTATTCAACCCGCATTTCATTATCTGCGAATTTAATTTCTCCTTTCTCTTGTTACCATCACTCTCATTATTTACTTTAATTGAAAATGTGATTTTTTAATATTTGCTATCTATTACTTGTAAATATTTCTTACAACTATAATAAAATACCTTGCTAAGATACCAAAATGGTTGCTTGAAAAATTCCTAAATAGGGTTAAAAA